ATTTGATCCAGTCACTCGCAAACACTTTCGAATTGCTCCAGATCATAGTGGGGTAAGCCTGGTATAGTTCATAGTTCTCGTTTAATTGTGAGTTTTGTCTAGTAGAAGCTTGCTTTACTTACACTTGTGTCATCCATTTGAAGTTCGACTTTGAAGTTTGCTTATCTTTTGAACCGCTATCTTTCCTATTAACATCAGCGTTACTGCTCCGTTTAACTTTACGTTGCGCGAGTAGAGATGTGATAAGGGGCTGCTTTATCAGCTCCTTTCGAGTCATTCAAAAGCCGAATGAGAATCGAAGTTGTGGGTGAAGTTCTGCTTCTTTTCCATTTCTATCTAAAACCCTATTTTTAAATTTCTTGAGAGATTATTTACTTCATTAACAATCACTTTCACTACTATCGTACAATTTAATAAGACCGCAACGAAGTTTGTTTCAAAAATGAAATATATTGTAAGCTTTTGTTGCGATCTTATATTTCAAAAATAGGTGTTACCTTTAAGATTAACAACTACTCCCACAAAGACATCATTCGAAGACGTCGAGAAGCTGAGCGATGTCATCTTCTTGCACAGAAAAGGAGCTTTCACCTGAAACTCTCTCAAAACCAAGTGCCTACCGTGCTGGCTGTCAGAGGTAAAATATCTATACAGTATTATTTTTCAATGAATAATATGACATTCTTACTGTGAGCTTTAGACCTCTCACTAGGAGCCCGCAACTTCAACAATACAGTTCGAACTATTTACGAAAATCGATTGTTGCATGTGGGATCCGTCCCGAATGCTGTGCAAGAGGTAAAAGTGCAAAATTTGACCCATTGCAACCACACATCGTGAAAGGTTTAAACGTCACCTTTGTGCGATTCAGACCTACTTGAGTTCTTCAAGCGAACACGTGAAAGGATGTCAGTTTTTGGATATTGTGGGGAGCGGTGACGATGCACAGATTTTGGGTTGTTGGGCCATAGGCGATGGATCAAGAAATAGCAGAAAAGCTTCTAAACTTGCCTGCTTACGAGCTCGCTTCAATGATGAGGTGGCAAGGTACGAAGATGCTTTGAACCGGGTTTATTTGTTTTGATACTGTTTTATTTTTCAGAAAAGCAGCTATTGAAATGGACAAACAGATCAGACCAGACGCCAACATATCTTTGAACGTTCTTGGTGAGTAATTCCATAGAATATATTTTCTTGTTTACTTCCTCGTTCAAATTAGTTTTTGCTTAAATAAACCATGCAGTGGTCTGCGTTGCCACCTCGATAAAAATTCCCTTCCTGGTTTCTGTTTCTTTTAGAAGCTGATATCATTGAGAACTTTTTATCATTACAGTTTTTGCACTTATCTATCTTTTTGGATTGGCAGAGTATGAAGTTTTAACCGATCTGATGCCTTTGTCCCGTGTTTCCTTTAACGTGAAAGGAATGTTCCACTTTGCACCTTTTTAAGACTTAATAGAGTGGAATTTTCTCGTTAAAATCTTGTATCATAACTAGGTCGACTCAAACGACTTGTAAAAAACGTAATTCTATCCTGTTAAGGCCTCGAGTTCGTTCTTGATGGAGAAACTGAAGATGTGTCGGAGCCCGTACTTGTCGATATGACTGTAGCGCCAGTGGACTCGGACG